TGTCCTCGTTTTTCAAGGACCGTAACTTCCCCTCCTCGGTGGTCGAGAACGCCCTCAACCGTGTCTCCCACATCTCCCGCACCTCATCCCTCACACCCCGTCCACGCAATAAAAACCAAAAAAGAATCCCCCTCGTCCTCACGTACCACCCCACCAACCTCCGGATCCAACGCATCATCCTCCGACACTTCCGCCATCTGCAATCCGACCCCACCACCAAAGACATCTTTCCCTCCCCACCTTTATCTGCTTTCCGGAGGGACAACTCTCTCCGTGACTCCCTTGTCCGCTCCACACTCCCCTCCAGCTCCACCACACCCGGCACTTTTCCCTGCAACCGCAGGAAGTGCTACACCTGCCCCCATACCTCCTCCCTCACCCCCATCCCAGGCCCCAAGAAGACTTTCCACATCAAGCAGATGTTCACCTGCACATCTGCCAATGTGGTATACTGCATCCGCTGTACCCGGTGTGGCTTCCTCTACATCGGGGAAACCAAGCGGAGACTCAGGGACCGCTTTGCAGAACACCTACGCTCGGTTCGCAACAAACAACTGCACCTCCCAGTCGCGAACCATTTCAACTCCCCCTCCCATTCCTCAGATGACATGTCCATCCTGGGCCTCCTGCAGTGCCACAACGATGCCACCCGAAGGTTGCAGGAACAGCAACTCATATTCCGCTTGGGAACCCTGCAGCCCAATGGTATCAATGTGGATTTCACAAGTTTCAAAATCTCCCCTCCCCCTACCGCATCCCAAAACCAGTCCAGCTCGTCCCTGCCTCCCTAACCTGTTCTTCCTCCCACCTATCCCCTCCTCCCACCTCAAGCCGCACCTCCATCTCCTACCGACCAACCTCATCCCGCCCCCTTGACTTGTCCGTCCTCCCTGGACTGACCTATCCCCTTCCTAACTCCCTACCTACACTCACCTTTCTTGGCCCCATCCCCGCCTCTTCGACCTGTTTGTTTCCTCTCCACCTATCCTCTCCTCCATCCCTCTTCTATCCGCCTCCAACTCTCTCCCTATTTATTTCAAAACCCCCTTTTCTGATGAAGGGTCTAGGCCCGAAACGTCAGCCTCTCTGCTCCTATGATGCTGCTTGGCCTGCTGTGTTCATCCAGCCCTGCACCTTGTTGTCTCGGATTCTCCAGCATCTGCAGTTCCTACTATCTCTGCCCCGCAGAATTCCCCTCTGGACTCTCGCCAGAGGTGGCTGAGCCCTTGATCTCCACCCTGCCTGACTTCCTCCTTGGAAGTTCACGCTGAGGAACGTCCATTTGCTTCTGGCCAGAAGACCGTCAGCCTGACCAGATACAAATGCAGCCCAACTAAACCTCCAGGACTAACAGGCTCCACTGCTGAGTAGTTTCCCTCCACTCCAGCTACAGCACCAGGAGCTACACTGAGACACAGTGGCAGGGAGAGAAAGACGAAAACCTATTTAGTGGCATGGGTGTCATTGTACTGTATATGAATTTTCTTTTGTATAAGTTTCACTATTTTGAATGTATATTTGTTTCCTTGAGTATCTTTGTAGCCACAAATTAACTGGGCACCAGCATGGTGCCTAGAGTCATGACCACACAGGATATTCATGCATCGATGTCTGCAGTGACCGCTCTCTCCAGTATCTAGAAGCAAGGGAAACAAGCCATATAGAGGACAACTGGTGCTGCTGACACCTTTTGGCCTTAATCTGACAACATCCTGATTCTTTCCTTGTCAATTTGAGTCCAACTGTCCGTACTCTTCAGGCAGTGGCTTCCTGCCTTCACCTCTACATGTCACTGATGCCCCTTTCTGTGAATTCCATAGGCACGTCACCTGCTCAGCTCTGCACCCAACCCATCCATAGGAATCCACACCAGCCCAACATTCCTACCACAGCCCCTGCCCTACAAGGTGACCATGACAGGTGTAGCCATATACTGACCCTTCCTTGAAGCCAGGGTACTGACAATAGACAAGCCCTCTCCCACATAAACTCTTTCCCACCATATTATCATATTGTTCCTTACAAACACTTTGCTTCCCCCCACCCTATCATAACTGTTATCAACCCTCCCCTACAGTCTGCACCCGCAAATCCCAAAGAGTAGGTTGCTGAGTCTCTTTCCCACTGCAGCATTCCCCCACACCCCCTTCGATCTTCTGATAGACTCAACAGATTGACCACAGCCCACATCCTTGAGAGACTTAACTGGACAGTCCCAGACCAGAAGACCCTTGACTCGATGCTTATACATCTCCCAACATTGTTAGCTGTATCTAATTTGGATAGTCGCTTCGTAGATGCTGAATGTCAGTGACTCGTCATCTACTTCAAACCCTTGACTACTACTCCTCTCGCCAACCCTCCTGCAAGAATGCGATCCCTTACTCCCAATCCTCCACCTCTGCTGCATCTACTCGTAAGATGGAGCATTCCACTCCTGGACATCCCAGATGTCCTCCTACTTCAAGGACTGTAAGTTCCCCCTTCCATTGATTGAAAATGCCCTTAACTGCATCTCTTGTGTTTTCCACACTTCTACCCTCAAACCACCTCCCCCCAACAAAAATAAAGGCAGAGTCCCTCTTGTCCTCACATACCACATCACCAATGTCCGCATCCAGTGCATCATCCTTCGCGATTTCTGCCACCTACAATCCGACCCCACCACCAAAGAGATATTTCCCTCCCCACCCGCTATCTGTCTTTCCTAGGGACCGTTTAGTCCGCAACTCCCTTGTCCGCTCCACACTCCCCACCAGCCCCACTACACCCGGCACCTTTCCCTGCAACCACAGGAAGTGCTACACCTCCCCTCTCACCTCCATTCAAGGCACAAGACAAACTTTCCATATCCGACAGGGGTTCACCTGTACATTCTTCAACCTTGTCTACTGTATCCGTTGCTCCCGATGTGCGCTCTGTACGCTATAATCAACAACACCTTCTGGTCGCTAACCATTTTAACCAACCCTCCCATTCCCTGGGTGACATGTCTATCCTGGGCCTCCTCCAGTGCCACAATGATGCCACATGCAAACTGGAGGAACAACACCTCATATTCCATCTCGGGAGCCTACCGTCAGATGGCCTAAACGTAGAATTCACCAGTTTATAAATCTCCCCACCCCAGGCCTCATCCCATGTCCAAACCTCCCTCTCATCCCGGCCTCCTTGACCTGACCCTACCTGTCCATCTTTTTCCTCACCTATCTGCCCCACCCTTCCCACTGACCAATCTCCACTATCTCTACCTGCATCCACGCACCTTCATCCCACCTACCTTTTCCCAGCCCCACCACTCGTCTCTATTTATTTCCCAGCTCCCTTTCCCCTCCCCAGTCTTACTGAAAGGTCTAGGCCCAAAACGTTGACTCTTCTACTCCTCTGATTCTGCCTGATCTGCTGTGTTCCTCCAACTCCACACTGTATCAATCTTCCCTGTAAACTGCTTATATCCATCTCACGACCTACCTTTCCACTTATTTTTTTGACATCTGCAAATTTGGCTACAGTACATTCATTTCTTTCATTCAAACATGTATTGTAAACTGTTGTCTCCCCAGCACTGATCCCCATTTAGAAGGATGAGAGGTGACATTATTGGAACGTGCAAAATTTTTAGGAGGCTTGTTAGGGTAAATGCAGAGAGCTTGTTTCCCTTGAAGGACAGCCTAGGACCAGAGAGAATAATCTTAGAGTAGCAAGTCGTCCAGTTAGGACAGAAATGAGATGGAATTTCTTCTCTCAGCTGGTACTCAGCCCATGGAATTATTTACTGCACAGGATGTATATTCAAGGCTCAGGTGATTTTTAATGAGAAGTTATTGGGAAAAGGCAAGAAAATGATTTTGAAGATTACCAGATCAACCACAGCCTCATTGAATGGAAAGTGGATTTCATAAGCTGAATACCCTACTTCTGCTCCTACTTTTAATAGTCTAAGGAAATGATTGTTAAAAGAGTGTTGCAATATCATTAAACTTCAATGCACTAAAAGCCTGACTGGGTACTACCTGGATACCACAAACAACACCTGTTGCCGTTACAACAAATGTGGCTTTACCACTTAATCCTGAAAAATCTCAACATTGTTCGTTTATGATCCTACCAGATCCCGTTGAAATATGATTCGACCTTTGAAAACGTCATCAAGGCCTCCCTCTCTGTATCTTTCTCTATCAGGCACAATGGGTGTGTTATAAAATAACAAGGTGTAGAGCTGGATGAACACAGCAGGCCAAGCAGAGGCCCGAAACGTCAGCCTTCCTGCTCCTCTTATGCTGCTTGGCCTGCTGTGTTCATCCAGCTCTACACCTTGTCATCTCAGATTCTCCAGCGTCTGCAGTTCCTACTATCTCTGAAACAATGGGTGTGTTGATACTTTTCACAGAGGGATCGCTTTCCTTTCAGAAATTGAGTAGTTTTTTTTTGCTTCTTGCTACGCCCAATCATTGCACCTCAATACTGTCCTACCCGGGACTATAGTGTTAAAGCATAAGTTGGACGAATGGTGCAGCTAATTTCACTGTCGCCTACCAGTTATTATAAGCAATCTGCAGGTGGGCTACTTGAAGCACGATGAACAAGAGCTGCACTTGCTGTTTTGGATCGGTGCAGGGCGGCACTGAACTAGGCTGTGCCGTTCCGGGAGGGGCTATGCCGCGCGGTCTGGGATTGGACTGAGTCGGGCTCTGCTTTGCCTTCCGTGCGGGGCGGAGCGGGGCGGGGCTGGACGGGGCTGAGCCGGACTGTGCCGTGCGGGGCTGGACTGAGCCGAGCCGGGCTGTACCGTGCGGGACGGGACTGAGCCACCGAGCCGGGCTGTACCGTGCGGG